TCCTCAAGGAAATAACTGTTACAGTTTTTGCTTAATTAAAGGGTGTCCTGAAAAAAATTCTGCCCTATACCAGAAGAATATGTTTTTTTTAAACGATTATAATTGGGGAAAAAAGGTGAAAATTGCATCAGAACTTGGTGATCTAGTGTCCAAATTGTACATTGCAAGCCAGATTATTTCAAGTTTATCTTGAAATTTAAAATTTTGTGAAGTGAGATACTGTCAGTTATGCAAATAATTACTTTACCTGAGGGAATTTTACCGACAGAGTTTTAAATGATAATCTTCAAAATTATTTTCAGGAGCACCAGGTGTGGGAAGGAATGAGTTAAAGAAGATGCTACTGTCAAGTAGTCCTGATAAATTCATAACAACAGTTCCTCGTAAGATTACAAATTAAAATTGAATTCACTTGTATTTATGTAGTAATTATATGTTTAATATGGCCCCAGTTGTTCAAAAGTTGGATAGCACTATCCACTGGATAAATCACTACCCAGTGGATAGCACAGTATGTTTTGTCATCACTTACCTGCTGTATAGCAATTTATTTGTTGGGTAGTACTAACCTTTCACTCCCATGAGTGACCGAGAGAGAACTTCTCCTTAGTGTCAATGCAATATCAAGCAGACAAGTGATGAGAATAAAGAAAAATAGCAATTAGGGGATTTTTAGTGGATCCAATACCAAATTCTCCAAACTAACATCATAGGAATTGTATAGCAGATAATAAGAAGAATTACTGATGAGATCTTGAGAGTGAAAGGGTTATAACCACCCTTTGTACAACTGGGCCTATTTAGCAAAATTTGTTTTTACCAGGCTTAGAGTAACCTTTAGGGAACTTTGCTATCCATGTTGGCAAATACATTTTTACAAAAGTTTAATGCTCCAAAAAAAAAAAACAGTATATGCTTCAATCAGTACCAACACCTATAGGAAAAAGTAAAGGGAAACATTAAAAATCAAACCATACAGTCAGGGAAATTGTAGTGTATGATTGTTTGGTTTTTTCATTGCGATTGTTATTTATCTTGGAAGTTTATCAGTAAGCCTCCGCTTCATGTATTAACCCTTGACACCCCAACATCAGTAAAGGTATTCTCCATACTGTTCTCTATACATTCCCCAAAGGTGCTGACAAGGAGAATTTGTGTAACAATCAACAACTTCTTTAGCTGCTGATAATTTTCTTTATTCTCATAACCTTACTGCATGATTCAGGGGTGATATTGTAAGGAGAAATTAGATGCTAGTCACTCCTAGGGGTTAAAGGGTTAACCCCATTTTTCCTGGCTCATTCTCAAACACATTGAGTATAGCCCATTTGATTGGCTCATATTTTATGAAGTATTTTGACACTAGTTTGATAATTACTGCACAAGAAAAGGACCTTTTTAAAATGTTTTATTTCGTGGCATAATTTTATTTTTTGTCTTCCTACCACCAAGCACCAAGGTGCTGATCAGGCTGGTACTTTCTATTGAATGAATAACAATTGATGCTTTACACAAAATTTATTTTCTAGATACGTCCAGACATATGAAGAGTTATGAAGCAGATGGCAAGGATTATTTTTTTGTATCAAGACAAACTATGGAGAATTTTATCCAGAAGAGGAAATTCATAGAATTTGGAGAATATAAAGGTTGTCTGTATGGTACCTCAAAGGATTCTATAACCAGAGCTCTGAAATCCAGGAAGACCTGTGTCCTTAAGGTACAACCTGAGGTGAGTCGTGATTAAAGTTGCTCTCAACCTTGAGCAGCACCTTTGCTTTCAACAGATTGGTTTAAATCCTCAACTTGAAGGTGGGTCTGGGTCCCATTTGTTGGTTTTTCTATAATAGATTGACAGTACAATTATTTAATGCAATACAAAAGTAAAATTAACCTCACAAGTTGAAGTTACTGGTCAGGAGTATGGCCTCAAATTAAATCACTAAATCTGGCTTGTAGGTGATGTTGCTATTACGAACAACAGAGTTCAAGCCATACTGTGTCTTTGTGAAGCCTCCTTCTTTGAAGGAACTCCGCACATCAAGACTGACAGTACAGACGAAAAAAAAGAAGGCTTCAGATAAGTCCTCCATCAGGACATTCAGCGTAAGTCTTATTGACAAACAGGCAGACTAGAAATAGTCCCGCTTTCTTATTGTAATGTGAAGTATAGTAAAGCGAGGGAAAGTCTGCACTGGAGCCAATGGCCCAACCAGCCTTGGCTTATCTCTGTTTCTATGGCATGACAAGACTGGAAATATTCCCCATCCCATTGGATGGGATGTTACCCCCTATAGTTGTATATTACCCCTGGTTATTGCATAGACCAGTCCAGTAATGGATGTCACACCCATCTGCAACTCCACTTGAAATAACTGTAGAATTGGACTGGCTTCCCACCATGGAGGAACTAACAATTTCCACTTCACGCTACGTAAACTGGGATAACCCCCAGTCTGGCTTGAAAGTTGACATTGGCTTAAGTTCATAGGTCATTGTTTTGAGTGCGGAGGGCCCCCCCCCTCCCCTATCTCTCATTCTGGCCCTGAATATTATGATTTAAAATTAGTCTAAAACTATGCTTGTAATATGAAAATAGCAATAGCCACCAAGCCCACTGTAGAGTCTCTCAGTGGCTCAGTAATAGAACATGCAAGTATGGAATGCAAAGGTCTGAGGCTCATTTCTTCATGGGGACTTAGAATTTTTTTCCTTTTGACACTTAGGGAAAATAAATCCATCTACCTTTATCATATTCAGTGAAATTGAAAAATATCAGAATGTAAAAATTAAACCAATCAGGTTGCAAATTAAGATCATGATGTAAATCTAAACCTGTGATTGGTCCTTTGTAAATAAGTGATTTCAGCTTGGATAACCTTTTCATTGATATGCAGGAGGAGGAACTACAAGAAATGATTAGTACTTCTAGAATGCTGGAGGAGACCTATGGAAGATTCTTTGACCTGACAATAGAAAACAAGGACATTGAAGAAGCTTATGTCAGCATTGTAGACACATTTGAAAATCTTGAACAGGAAGAGCAGTGGGTCCCTTTGGACTGGACCCAACAAAACTAAAAGAAGGTCTCATATCTTATGTATAAAATGTGAGGCTGGTCATATCATGATGGATTCACCAGTATACACCACACTTGACCATCAAAGACCATTTCTAGACAAACTCAATAGAACTTATTAACTATTAGTACAAAATGTGAGATCCATCCATTTTAATTTTTTCAAAATGTAGCTGTTAACCTTTCAATTCCCAAAATCTGATCATTCATTCTCCCCTCTACACATTTACTTACATTAGTCACAAGTCATAAGAATTAGTGTAAGATCAAGATAGGAACTTCTGTGTGAAGAGTTTGTGCATTCTCGTTAGCTTAGTGAGTTTGTTTTAATTTTGATGAGTTACTGGATAATAAGTTACACAATTAATTTCAGATATAGGAGTCAAAGGGTTAAAGGATTAAATCATGCTGTCACAAGCCTTGTTTTATTTGCTCGATAGAACACATTATTTGAAAGAAATGTTTTTTTATCTTGTCACGAGATTGGGACAAAGAAAAAGGTTAACAAGTGCCAGGCAGTTGGTCAGTGGAGCTGAAAGAATTAATTAGGAACGTCGAGAGTACGGCGAGGCTGGAGAGCCTGCAATTATTACCACCTATAAATTGAATCTTGGACTCCACAAAATGTCCATTTAAAATTTGCTTTTCAAAACATGCTTACCACATACTGAGTCAACCATGTGAAACAAAGTACATGTAAAACAAAGTACATATAAAGTGTTGAAGTGAGCTTTTTAAATGCCATACCAGAAGCTGGTACTGTACAATAAACCATGAGCAGCCCTTCCTTTTCCCCAGAGTATGTTGCCAGAGTAAAAAAAAAGTTAAAAAAAACAAGTTGCAATTCTTGCCTGTTAAATTTTCTCACTTTTTTAATTTAATTCCAATTGTTTCCCCTCCCCTTGAAGTAATGTAGTGCTGAGGTTGACTTCATCTGTAGCTGTGTTAATGATTTTTTTTTTCAGCAGAATGTGTCATTTTGCAGTGAAGGGTCAGGGGTAATTCATAGGGTAAATTTTATACTTTATTGCCATTTTCATTTTGAATCAAGAGTCTACAAGTTATGGAAAAAAAATTTAAAACCCTCAACACCCCAACATCAGTATGTATATTCTCCATACTGTTCTCTACACATTTCCTAAAGAGCTGACTGGGAGGATTTGTTTAACAATCAAGAACTGCTTTGGTTAGTGATCATTTCCTTTATTTGGGGGAATAATGTATGGAGAAATTAGATGCTAATCACTTTTAAGTGTCAGTTAAAGGGGTTGATATGTTATTAAATGAACTGTTTCATTGTGTAACAGAATCAAGTTTGAGTCTCAGTTGTAATTAAAAGATTTGAGTAAACTTCACCTAGGTTTAGGATATGATTTAATTGTTCATATATTCACGTACATCATACATTCAACTTACAATAAATACATGGCAAATAAAAGTATTGATTCCTTAGCTCATACATAAGCCAGTTAAATTGTTTTCAATTAACACTTTAACTCCAAGACCTGATTGTTCATTCATTTCTCTAGCTGCTTAGCATTTCTTAGTGAACTAGTTACAAAAATTTTGTGTTAGATCAGGACAACAGCTTCTTCTTGATAAGGTTAGGTATTCTCATTACCTGTTTTCTAGATAATGTGGAGATATTATTGGGAGAAGTGACATGTTAATCACTTCTAGCAGTAAAAGGGTTAAAAAATCTCTTTTTTTAATAGTATAGCATGGTGTTCATAATTTCAATTTCATTTTAAAAAATTACATTATTTTTTAATTAATAACTATGACCTGATGAATTATTATATCTACAGAAACAGA